TTATATATTGTGTACACAACAATAAACACATATTACAGTATCCATTCGCAAGTGACTAGCTGGTTTTACTGTGCAAATAATAATAATAATAAAAAAAGACTATGTATAATATATAATATATATTGACAACAACAATAATGAAATGCGGCATTCTGGACGTTTTATACATTTGCTTTTTTAATTTGTTCAATCGCCGTAGGTACACCACGTTGTTGCCGCCCCGCCATTATACATACTGTTTTTAATATTATTATCTTGTACTGTGCCTACACACTGGAAATAAACACATACTTACATTCGCAAATTATTGTATGAGCGCGCAATGCAATTTTGACTTAATACACACACACAAAGACAGTACATATAGGGTGTGTCACAATGATCTGACAGTTTTATATATCATAATAAAACGTATGTCAGATTACGACTTTCGAATAATTGCAATACACAAATTGTGTTCAATATTATAATACTACATTTGAGAACAAAACGTTTTTTTTTTGTTTTCCTCTTATGGTAGACACATAATGTAGTGTCTAACAATATTATACACCTAATAGTATAATATTATGACGGACCGCTGCAAGTTATTTGTTTGAATCGACATTTTGAGACGCACTAGGTGGCGTAAAGCCGAGGGGTTCTCAGCGTTATAGACTTTTAAACGTTTAAAACAAATTTTTGGTGTCTCATCAAAAATATGGGCGATACTGGACTTGTATTTCTCCAAAGAACGTGATTTTTTTCTAATTCTAATCTCTGAAGACACACTCGGGTGGCCTACATTTTAATCTAAATCCGTTACAATAGAACAGCCGAGACCGGACTATGTGTTTGTCCAATATAATGGCTACATATCACACTACCGTCTAGATAGCTAGACTATAATATTATAGGTTCCATACGGTTCCGACGGACAATGCACAGAGGGCTAATCTTGCATCTACATGGCGTTGTATTAAGACGTATGGCGATACGGATTGGAGAACATTTCCCGGGGTCGGGTAACGGCACGTCGGCGGCGTGAAAAATTCGATTTGTCAATGTCAAGGTGAAGTAACCCTCCCGGCCAGAGACAAGACCAGCGCTAAGGCGGCGGCAGTGGTACACATTATAATAATATTGTGTATCTTGTCGAATGCGATTTGGATTAATAGTTGCCAAATCGATCGTGACGCCGATCGACCGCACCGCCGCCGTCTTGTGATAGTAATAATACGTTTTTAATCGTACCTCTTATTCTAGACAGAACCCGCGCACAATGGTATGCCACCGGTATAAACGAAAACAAACGTATGTACACAGCACGTTGTCTTATGGGTATTAAGAACTTTACACGGCCGGTCGCAACACGCGATGATGCGATGCTCAGATGATACCGGCAAGCCACTTGGCTTAATACAATACTACTATATAATATGGATACGGCCAAGAACAATGAGCGGCCGGTGCTCATTAACCACAAACGTTATACTTAGGCCGACCGTGCGGTGTACATGTCATACGCGCGTTGCGCAACTGCGGTAAACGGAAAAAACATGTAAAAAAACAAATAATAATAATAATAAACGTACAGCATTAATCACTTTGATGTTCGTGTGAAGAACAGCAATAAAAACTGTAAAAGAATCACCCCTGAAGAGAATTAAACAAAAGAAACGTTCAATCTAAACAAGGGTCGTGCGTTGTTACCTATAGGTAACCTAGGTGACGGTTAAAAAACGCCGGTTTCGGATGCACATTCAGAAGTGCATACAGTCGAGGGAGACTTGAACGCTCGAAGCTGTAGAAACAACAATAGAGAATACCAGTTGGTTGCACTCTGGTGGGAGAAACAAATAATTTGGCATTTAGTAATAGCAATTTTGATTTATGAAAGTGTGGTAATCTTGTTAATTATTTTTTACCGCGGCAGCGTGTATGAATAATTTGTACACAACCGACCAGGCTAATACAATTTATGCTGGCTAGTATTCTGAATCTAATGATGTAAGTGACGTAAAATACATTACATGATACTGATTTGCCCAGATCTGATCTCTGTAACGTTAACAGTTTTGACGTTGCTCAAGTATTTATTTACACAATCCTCTTCTAGCAAAACTAATAAGTACTCGATAAAAATACATGTATACGGTTTTATTGGTAATAAAAGAACACCACAAACCTAAGGTATATCTGGGTACGATAGGCCGTCCGATCCGCCTTTTCCCGTCAGAGCTGAATTTTGATGTACAGTCATTGTTGTAATAATAACAAATTAACTATGATATCATGACACGGTCCTTGTCGAATAATTTTATAGTTTCTGAAAATCCGTCCGCCGCTTGGATCTGTGGGATAGAAACACACGCGGTGCGTGTGGAGGGGATTCCTCCGACGCACTAGGACCGATTATAAGCGACCTTGCTAGCTGCTAGGGTTATAAAAACGCCTACCGAAGGATCAATGACGTTCCTGTATTTTGGCCGAACAAATTGAGGTCGACGCCAATTACAACGGACATTGTTATTAAAAAGTTTTCGGCGTAATTGTAGTACAAAAATAGAACCGCGAAGCGTTTAATGCAGTTCGCATCTCTATTCGTACACTATTCGTACGCTGCGAACATCGACAACAAAAACCTTCAAAAACTACAAGCACTAGGCGGTGATGAATGTATAGTTTACAGTGTGTATGCATAGACCACTGGTGTAAACCGCGATTTGAAATTATCTATTATAGATGCGGATGAAACCGTTTATCCCGGATAGGCATTGATCGTGCGTTAAAAAAAACAAGTAAACCCAACCCAAATAGATGAAACGATCGAGGAAAATTTATAAAAAAAAAAGCGCCACATGGCACACAGTAATTTATTCAGGTATTGCGAGCCTATATGTGTATGACATGAGATATATATCCATTAAATATGTTTAATCAATATAAAATGGTAATATTATGGTGTATAAACTACAGCTTAGAGTCGGTTATAAAAGGTGTATTTATACAAAAAAATATGCATGTATGTATAATGTCAGGCACAATAATGACAAATCGCTAATGTTTTGCGTTGAAAAGATTGTTAATTGGGCGAGGAGGGGCTTTTACTATGCAAACTCTGTCAAGTGTGTACCTATCGCGTGGACGACGCCGCGCCCACGTTCTTATCAATATCGAATTATGCGGTCACGATTAAATAAATCTGATTAACATTTCACACAGACTCCCAGTATCGTTATCCCACACCGGATACGGTACGCGCATGCATAAAAAACCGTTGATTTCGATTGATAATTATTTCAAAACTATACTCGAGGTGTTTTCGCTTCGTTCGTTTCATACATTGTACGTGTATGTCTCGTGTAATTAGCCACCGCCGTTATACTTACATACATACATATTTATATTAAGAAATGCGTTTTTCAAACTATCGAGTGGAGTTCACTTCACCTTTACACATATGCTGTCTGTCCCTGATTTCTACCGTAAATTATACCTCAGGCGATATTCATTAGTGGTTTTTCAACACAACCATACCAGCTGTAGACATGTGGTACACAACATAGATTGTTGCCACTTTTTTCAAATTAGAAGCTTTCATAAGCCTTGCAGTGCTTTTATCCAATATATATAATTTCCTTACGGCTGTTACTTTATAACTTACAAGTAGCCTATAAATACAAGTTTTGCATAATTCCTATGGTGTCACAAAGTCTAAATTGGTTTATCGTTTGCCGACACACCTGTGATGTTAAAATATAACAACATATTGGAATATGGAATAATTAAGGGGGGAAAATCATTAATAGCCATCGCCCATCATTCACACTAACAGTATGAGACAGTTCATAATGATAATAATACAATAAAATACAATATTATAATATTCGTATGCTCTTAATACACGCTCTAGCACAAGCACACACGTTACAATAACACGAGGTCCGTCGTCATTATTGTTATTTATTATTATTTACTACTATATCTACTATTATAGTATAATATTATTGTTGCCGCCGCCGCCGCCGCTTGGCCGACCGAGAGCATAGTGCGTGCGTGTTGTGTATAACGATAAACTTTCTTATAGGACAGCGCGCGTGCTCGCGTCCTTGGGCATGATTATCCTTTAATATTCATTCTTCTTACAAAGAAAAAAAACACATGTGCATGTATGTGTACACTCATAATAACATATAAATTTGAACTGCCCCGTTCGTGTGTCATGGGAAAATAATAAATACATCATATCGCGCACATACGAAATATAATAATAATTATTTATATACATATATTGTACGCACGTGTATTTGTATATTAATACAATGTAATATTATATTATACCGAAGTGTACACGCGGGCGAGAGGGCTAAAAGACATATTATAATGTTTAAAGATAAGTCTGTGTGTGTATCTCGAAAGATCTTTTGTGTTCGTGCGCGTCCGAACGGATTGGTTGAGCTTCGAACGGGCCAGCAGGGTCGGAGGAGAGTGTAAAAAGGGAGGGAGGGGGCCAATAATACACGTTAGAGCTTTGCAGCGTTGGAGCTACATATAGTGATTGATGCGCTCTCCGTGCATATGGATCCCACATATACAATAATATTGTTACGTGTACGCGGCGGTTCAACCTTTACACAACATACACACACACGTTGGATATCATATTTTTATATACATATATACATTTGTATAATGTATATAGAGACGTCGGTTCGGATCGACGTTCGTTGACCTCGCGAAGACCGCGCGCGCCGGATATTTTTTTTTATACTATGTGTATGGTCTCGTGCAAGAAGTGGATAAAAGTCTATTTTCGAGCATTTTCATTGTTTTAGTCATTTCTTGGTTGTGGAAAGTAGAAAGGACCTTAGCGAGGGAGCGTTAGGCCAGCCGCGTCTGGTATCTCGGCAACCCAAGTGCTAGCCAAGTTTTTACATTCCTTTTAAAATATGTCTCGATGGACTTACATGCCTTCTCGCACGAGACTATTCAACGTGTTATTTGTTACGGGCTCTCACCTGACGTTCTGCTGCAGTATGTGGCCCATGTCGTCGACCAGCTCCTGCATGACCAACACTGTGGTGCCCGGCGCTCCCAGGTACTGTTGTCCGGCCTGACCCTGGTGGACCAGCACGGACACTGCCGACCCGTTGGCCGTGTCCTGCTGCAGGGTTAGGCCGGGCGGCAGCGATCCCGGATTCTGTGGATCGTAGATGATCGTCTGCTGCGGATCCGTATCCGATATGTAGATCAGCGTCTTCTGGTCAAGGGGATCTTCCTGGTGGTGGTGGTGCTGCTGTTGATAGTCTTCGTTGGCCTCGGAGAATTCGTCCACGCTGACCGGCTGCATGGTGGCCAACATGACGGGCGACGAGCTCTGCGGCGGCAAGTCCTGCACGGCGTTGGGCGACATCACGGCCTGCGGATGAGGAGACGGCAGAGCGCCGGGCGCCGCCGCCATACCGGTCGGCGACGGCATGTCTTGGCACCCAGTCACTGCCACCGGCGAACCGGTCAGCTGCTGCTGTTGTTGTTGTTGTTGTCCGTCCACCGAAGATGACATGCTCTATGTGTGTACACGTACAATATAATATATGTGTCAGATGAATAGCCTGCACGGCGCGGCACGCGTTTCTATTGTTCGAATGCGATTCGTCACGGCTTCTGTGTGGGAATAGCCGTTAAAATGGTATCTTCCGGCTACTGCTACGCTGCTTTACCAGCTTCCTCCCGCTTCGAAGTTTCGACTACACATTTCGCCTGTAAGCACAAATGCAAATTGTCAAAACAAATCAAAGATAAGAAAGCTATATATATTTATATAATATAATAGCTATTGTAAGCCCCGCTGCGAACTTGAAAGCCGAAAACTAACGAAGCCATTTATAAAGCGTTAGACATTTGTAATGTGACATAAAGTAGCTAACAGTATCGATTTGTCGACGAATTTAGAAAACTAATGTTCATATGTGATTAGCTATCAATTAACTGTACGAAATTAATTATTTATCATTTGAGTTATGTATTTGAATCATATACAGGTCGCATACAGCTTGTAGCAATAGTAAGTCTCAGAAATTAATATAAAAAACTAGGTTTTGATATTTATACATATGTCATATTAATTTTATATATTTTACATATTATAGCTATTCATTTAAAACAGACTATATATCTGGGAAAATTATAAATTTACATGTTAAGTATTTAAAACATTAATATTCCGCATACATGTAATATTTACATTATAAACTGCTCCACGATAATTTACTTCCGCTACTAGTTTAACATACCACGTCGTATCAGACGTAGATTCCAATTATTCTGAATCTGTCTAACTTGTTGTCTTTGAAAAATCAACAGTAAAAAAAGGCAAAAACTTTACAAATAGGTACATTTTTTTTAGCTTCAAAGCGAAACGCAGCTGAAATGGTACCGATTTCTTTTTTGATATATAAATCTTTCATTATCATTATAGGTTATCGATAAGGTATGTGTATTATATATATATATATACATATATATTTTTTTTGCTCGTGTCCTTTGGCAATAAATCTTGATCGCTCAGTACTCGGAGATAAATGCCATAAAAGGAACGAACCGCGGCGTATATATATATATATATATATATATATATGTGATATAAAGCCAATACAGCGATTCGTTTTGATTTTATTCACGGTAGATACATCGTAGGACATCGGCAACCGAGCATAGTTTTCTAAGTGATTTCAAATAGAAATCTTATCAGACATTTCTGTCTTTGTTTTACTAGCGCCGGTTCCGGTACTAACTACAACTATTCCTATACTAACAATAATAATTGCATTTGATTTGATTTTTTTTAAACATAACTAATACATTACAATATAATATTATATTGTTATCTTGCACACTGGTAGTATTTTTTTCTCGCGCATCCGCCACCGTCGGAAGTAAATATTATATATATATATATTTGTCGTAAATTAATTTATACCGCAATAAAAATGTAACATTTTGGCAAAAACAAAAAAGAAGGAAAACACCAAGATAGTAAAAACGTGCAGATGTCGACTTAATAAAGTAGCATGATATTATGATCGTTTCAACTGTTGTAGATTTATTTTCATAACACACACTTCGGCAGGCTATAGCTAATTGTAAAATATATAATTTTATGTTTTTACGACATGTTAAATCTCACAAACCATACACTTACACTCCGGCCGCATGAAGTATATAATAATAGTAATAATAATAACGAAAATAAAACCGCTCACGCAATTTGCACACGCTTAAAGTGAGATGATTATTATGATAGACTTGGACGCATCAATGTCGAGGTGATTACACTGTCTGATTGAGGGTCTTTAAGCCTCAAAAATAGGAAGCCGCATAGACCCTCAAGATGACTGTTATGATGTAACCACGCAAAAAAAAAAATACATAGTGTAAGCTAAATATATACCTAGTGCAAGAATACAACCACACTGTTAATTGACAATCTTTGGAGCGTACACCCAAATATTATAATATTAGAGTCATAATTTATATTCAACGTTCTCTTTAAAATAATAATATTCATTATACAGCAGCTAATAAATTAACTGTTAAAAAAAATATATTTAAATTGTTTATTTTTAAATTATTTATTTCAAATTGCTATTCAGTGTTTAAAGTGACAGAACAACTGAGGTTCTTCTTAAAAAAAAAAAATTTAGAAACGATTCGTTGAGGTTTAGGAATAATTTGTTTACGTCATACAACACGTTTTTTAAGTAATGTGTATTATAAAAACAAATGGAAGCGGTTTCAGATTCTTAGGCTGATTATTTTTAGCTCATATTTTATTTGAAGTCATTAAACGCCTCAACATACATAATATATTGTAGGTATAGTTTTACACTTGTGAGAAGCAATGGAACGTTGAACGTAACAGTTGTTGATTTGCGCAAATAAATAATACTGTTATATTATAAGTGGGAGGCGTAACACAGGATATACTTTCCAATATAAATTATTGTGTATAGCCGAACAACAAGTTTAAGCGCTCATTATAATATTATTTAGGTATAATATATTTTGTATGAAATATTGTTACTTCTGGTAAATACGTTTTCCAATGACAACAATACGAACAGCCAACAGTTGTTGGAGTATAGTGATCGAATTGGGCTTTAATCTTATTCGTTTGACTACATAATAATTATTGTGTATTGGACAGCGGTAGATTTTCATTATTATTGTTCTGGTTGAACATCTGGATTGCGCGTCAGACCGTGACAGTACCAAAAAACCGTGATAGGCGCCAACGCGACTGGCAGTGTATTTTCTACTCCCTCATGCTTATTACATAATTCGAAACACTTTTTTTCTTCGCCTCCCATTAAATTACCGCCATAGAGACAACAAACCCTATGTGCACGACCCGAGGTAATAAAAAAAAAAACGATGGAAATTATTCGGCGACCGTCGTGTCATCGTAAAAACGCGTTAAGTGCAGACACAATGAGATTTACCGAACAAACGCGGCACTGTTCCTCCTAGTCGTCCACGGATTTAATAACGTTTTACAGCATAGGGCACACCGAGAATAATAATAAAAAATATCTAAGCCTGAAATAACTTTTCTTTTCGCAGTTAGTTGCCAGTCGCAAAAGTTTGCCACATTCCCGTTTGTAACTCGAATAGGACTCGCCTAGCATGGACTCGTGACAAGGATGAGTACTCTCAGCAATGACTCGATGATAGCCGTTGACCTTTTTATAGTCGGCCTGTACAAAAGTGCATTCAACTATGATGTGCACACACTCGGATACACGGTTTGCGCCCGTGAAGCGGCGAAAATGCATAATATTAAAATATTATTGAGTTTTTAGTCGATTCTAAAACATTAGTTTGCCGTTGAGAAATCGTTTTTTATCTGTTTGGAGTTTGATTTAAAAAATATATATATAATATATTACATGGGAAAAGTCACACGACAAACTAAAATATATCACTGTATCGCGTGTGAAAAAAAAAAAGAAGCAAAATAACTGTGGTGTAACGTGTGCGGCCTATGTCCAAATGCCGATACATTATAATATACTGATTTGCATAATGCATTGGAAAATAAAAATCAACTTTAATCTAAAACCCAAACCGAACTCATCTATAACGGTCGCGTGCATATTCGGGATACAACGACGTAGTTTCCCACCGAGCACGATGATATTAGGAAAGTTCACGTTAAGTAGGTACACGCGATATTTTTTAACATACAGCGTGTAATCGAAAAAAAAATTGTAACGTTTAATTCCGCCGTAGTGTTTGGCTATAATTGATTTTATACTAATCATCATCATCATCATCATCACCCTGTACACTGTTAATGTACCCATGACGGCGCTGCGAGGGAGCCGGCAACAGGTGCGCATTAAAAACGGACAAGTCCGAGATGCCGTACACGGGAGAGCAATCAAATTGGAGGTTTTGTCCTACGACTCCTCCGTCCCGTATACGTAATATGTATAATAATTAGACGTATAGAAGGAGTGAAAATAAAAAAAAAATAACCGTCGGTTTTCCGCCGAAAAAGAAATAAGCCGTCGCCACCCGGCCGACCAGACACTGGCGACCGCGATGACATTTTATAAAAATAAATAAAATAATAATAATGCCCGTGGTAGCAAGCGTTATTAGTATTATATACTTATACACCATATATATTATATAAGCCGGCACTAACAAGCCATGAGGTGGGGACCGGGCTCGGGCCAAGGCCGATGGCATTTAATGTAACGGTCCAGCGGAGGCTGCTGCTGCGGTGGTGGTGGTGGTGTTGGCTGCCGGTGATAATAATAATATAATGTATCCGGCGATGCTGGACCGTCTGTACGCGGTTATCCTGGTCGGTAGCCGAGGCTGCCTACGGGACGCGAAAAAGCACATAGGAGGAGAAACGGCCCGAGCACCCGACAATAATATGTAAATTTAATGGCCCGCACGAAAGGAATCCGAAGATTATTACCATAACTGCCGTCGCCGACCGAACGGATTATAAGCGCGTGTGTAGAGGAAATAATAATATTAAGTATATTTATTAATAATATATTGTAAACGATAAAAGCCACTACGGATGGACGATGACAACGACGACGAGAAATAAAAATTACTTGGCGATTTGTATGTAGTGCGGAAAATATTTCATAATCAAATTGCTTCCACCTTTGTAACCGTATACCGGGGACTTAATTCATAGCTGCAATATAATTTTTAAAAAAATAACGCAATGGTATTATACAGTTTTTGACGGATAATCAATTAATGAATCAATGGGCGCGACCAATTTTGATGTAATATATACCTCCTTAATGTATTTATATAAGTAACCAAAAACTTAGTGCCCCAAGCGCCACTCCGAAAGCCATGCCAATTTTATTCGATTACATTTAATTTCTAGATACTTATGAGATCGGTGGTGCAAATAGCTTAGTCTATCCAAAATTCCGTTAAAATTTCCCCTTTCGAAAATCTTTGACTTTTTGGGACACGAAGAGAATGCACGTGCGGTAACGACTTTTTTTTAAAAAACATACTCTCCCTCTTCTTGAATGCTTATAAACCGCTGTCATTTAAAGAAATAGAATAACTTCTCTGTATGTGTTATAAATTATTCCTTTTTAAGTGAGTTGTACATTGTGTCTATAAAAAAACATATCCAATAGAACCCAACTCTGACGGGACTCTTGAAATCAGCGATACACGCCGTCTAGGTTGGGCAAATCCCCAATTAT